TCAAATCATATATTAAAAAAAAAAACACATGAATTTGTCAATCACATCACCTGGGACTATAAAAGAAGGAGCATCCCCAAAGTTGAAAGATGCCAGACACACTAACCTGTTGTCATCTGATCATTCAACCATGGGCTGTGACCAGGAAAACTGCCACTGCACAGGACCTCTCCCTTTGTCCCCAGGCAAATCCTAGCTACTTGGGAGGCTGAGATCAGGAGGATTCTAGGATTACAGGTGTGGGCACTGGTACCTGGCTTTCCTTTCCTTTTTTCGTGGGACTGGAGTTTGAACTCAGAGCTTCAAGCTTTTCAACATGTGCTCTACTGCTTGAACCACTCCTCCAGGCCATTTTGTGCTGGTTGTTTTGGAGCTGGGTCTTGTGAACTATTTGCCTAGGCTGGCCTTGAACGTTGATCCTCCTGATCCCAGCCTCCCAAGTACCTAGGATTACAGGCGTGAGCCACCAGTGCCCAGCTGTTTCAGGATTTGGGGGTTTTTCTTTTTCTTTTTCTTTTTCTTTTTCTTTTGAGACAAGGTCTCATTATGTAGCCCAGGCTGGCCTTGAACTGGAGACCCCTTTTTGCCTCCACATGTAGAGTGCTGGGATTACAGGTGTGTACCACCTTGACCATAACCTTGCCTATTACAGTGTGGGGTTGTCAACTGCAAGGGAATTTCAAACTTTTTTTTTTTTTTTTTTTTTTTTTTTTTTGGTGCTTTGAGACAGGGTCTTGCTATGTAGCTCAGACTGACTTCACATTGCAATCTTCCTGTTTCCCAAGTGCAAGAATTACAGGTGTGTACCACCACGCCAGCCTTTCAAACAAGTTCATGTCAAGTTCATGTCGGTGCACAGCACAAATTGGTTATATAAGGGGATAAGTTTTTTCATCTTCATTTGTCTCTGATGCTGTTTATATGAAACAATTATTGTTCTGTCAACTGAATACCACTCTGTAGTCATTAAAAAAATTGCAGCTGTTTTGTTGCAATTCTGAATGCTTTTAAGAAAAGCATATTTTTTTATTAAAAAACCATGTTGCTGAACAATGTATTCAGTGTGAAGTCTTTTATGTAAAAGTTTTAAGTGCTGCAAACAATGTTACTCAGTGTTCATAGACTTTGTATATGTCATAAGAGCCTGGAGGCACCACTGGCTGGAGCCCAGCCATTCCTGCTGGGTTGCCTGTGTGGAAGCCCAGAGAGAGCTGTGGGGTGCTGCCAGCTTCTGGATGCCCAGCTCACACTGGCCAACGCTTTGTGAGGTCTGGAAAGGCTACCCCGAGGAGGAGACAGATCCCTCATCCCCAGCCCCCTGTGGATGGCTAGGGGCTACCCAGATGGAGACAGCTGGGCATGGGCTGTGAGGCTCCAGGAAGCTGGGGGCCAGGCTGGAGCGCAGGTGAGGCCTGGCTGTTCACCCCTGCTTCTTATCTAGAAATGTCCCAGCTCTCCAGGGCTTCCCAGGGGCCACTCTGTCCAGGGGGATGATGGGTATCTTCCTCCTGATCAGTAGGGAGGCTGCAGTAGGGGAAAGGGATAAACTCCAATCTGAGATGGCCAGGACTCAGGTCCAGCAGGGCTGATGGCCAGGACTCAGGTCCAGAATAGCTGGAGAATAGATTCAAATATCTAAAGTATCCCAGCACTCGGGAAGCTGAGACAGGAAGATTTCAAGTTTGAGACCAGCCTGGAGTGACATAGCAAGAGTCTCTCTCTCTCTTTCTCCTCTCTCTCTCTTTCTCCTCTCTCTCTCTTTCTCTCTCTCTCTCTCTTCTTCCCTCCCTTCCTCCCTCCTCCCTTTCCCCCTCTCTCTTGTGAGGCCCTGAGTTCAAACCCCAGTAACACCAAAAAACCAAAAAAAAAAAGTTCACAGTGCCTGGGGTTAGGAGCCAGGCAAGCTGGGATGAGGGGTCTGTATGTACCCACAATTGACCTTGCCTCTCTGAGCTGGCTTCCTCACCTGTGAATAGTATGACCTCATAGGTTTGCCCTGAGGATGAAAAACAATATAACAAGAAGGTGAGTCACCTCTATGACCTTGCCGAGGATCACCAGGACCAAATGTGGGACTTCACCCTGGTTTACTCCTGACATTCCTATAAGCTAGGCACTTGTTATCACCTGATTTTACAGATGAGAAAACTGAGGGCAACAAAAGCTAGTCAGATGAGCACACACATCTGGTAAGTGGCCAAACTAGGATGTGGACTGAAGCTGTATGATGCCAGTACCCCTGAGCCAAGCTCCTTTGCTCTATTGTTTTATTGGTTTGTTTCAGGTTTATAGGTCTACACCCCCCTCACATCCTGGGTGGACTGGGAGCATCTCCAGATGAGCTCAGCCCCTGGCTGGTGGGAGGGGCTCAGAGAAGCTATGCTGTATGTGGTGTTCGGTGGTGGGACCCAGGTGTCTGGCACTTGGAGGGGACCCTAAACTTATATTTTCCAAGGCAGCAGTACCAAAGGGAGGCTGGGATGGTTTTAGCCCTCCAAATCCCACCAGGGTGCTCCCACAGGACCTAGTGCCTTGCTTGGCCATGCTGCTCTGAGACAGTTTGTGACCCCCTTGCAAAGAATCCATGCTCCCTACTCTTGGCTGGCAGGAAGACTTGTTCCAGCCCCAGGATGCAGGAGTCCCAGCTCTTCGGCTCTTCCCTGGGAGGAGTCCTGGTTCCCCTTTTCCTATAAGCTGGGAACTCAGCTCTCACTCCCTTTCTCTTCTAGATCCCAGCTCCCCAAGACTCAGGAGTCCTGACCCCCATCCAGAGGTGTGTGGACCCAGCTATGGCTTGCTTTCTGGCAAAAGTTGTGTGTGGGGTTAGCGATGCAGCTCTGGTAGGGCTCTTGCTTAGCATGTGCAAGGCCTGGATTTAACCAACGAAGCAGAAAAAAAAAAAAAAGCTATTGTGCACATCCCCTCCATCTCCACACTCTGTGGATGTCCTGCCATGGTTTGAAATCAAAAAGGAGGGAGAATTTGCACCACAGAAATTGGCAATTGATTATTCCTCTGTTTTCCCCATCCAGCCTGCTGTTAAGTATTTGCCAGGACCCACCCACCCTCTCTGTTCCACAGCCCGGGGAGCCCTGGTGTTTAAAGGAAGTAAGTCAGGACAAATCACAAGACCATGGCTGGGGCACCAAGAATGCCCAAGCTACATGGGGGCTGGTCCCTAGTCTCCTGATCTGGATCCTTCTCTCCATATCAAGACTTCTGTCCCTGGACTGGAACATGGTGCCCATCTCTGCCCAACGCAGGAACCGAGGACAAAGTTTGGAGCCCCATGGATTCAGCTGTCCCGGCTTCAGCGTCCTTGTTGGCAGCAAGGAATCAATAAAGAGCAAGACCTAACACCACACTCTGTCCTCAGTCAAGTTCAGTGGACCCCAAACAAGGCAGGTGACCTCCCTGAACCTCAGCTCGCTCATCTGCGAAGTGGAGTAGTTGCAGTTCCTGCCTCCTCAGGATGTCAGGAAAGTACACAAGCTGTGCCTGCAAAAGAGGTTACTTAACAGAGTGCTTCACACGTCAGGTTCCTTGTTATAATAATTTCCTATCCCATCGGCCAGACGTGAGGAAAAACGAACTGACGTCTATGCTCAGCATATAATTTGCAACAGTAGGTACTCGATTGGTACTCCCGTCCGTAACAAGATGGGTCAGTGTTTCCAAGAGGGCGAAGGTGACTTTCCTTTCGCCCCACCTGCCCATTCCCACCACCAGGGGGCGCCCCGGCCCCTCCCACGGCACCGCCCCCTCACCTGTGCGGGCCGTGCACCTGGCGCCACCTCCGGAAGAGGGGACGGGGACCGCGGGGAGCTCGGAGGGAGCCCGGCGGCGGCGGGTGAGAGCCCAGGGGGCGCCAAGGGCGGGGCCCTCCGGCTTGGGTCAGGACTGAGCCGGGCAGGTCGGCGGAGGAGAATGAGAGGGAGCCGGGCGGGAGGGACGCCTGGGACTGTCGGGAAGCGGGGACACCGGCTTGACGGAAGGCGGTGCCGGATTTCGGACGGCCGGGCCTGGGGTCGGGGAGACCCCCCCCCCCCCAGGTGCGGTCCTGGCCCGGGGCTTCGCGACACCTGGGGTCTGCGGACCTGGCTGCGCTTGGACACCTGGCGAAGGGAGGGGTGACAGGTGTGTGCGCGCCCGTTTCCGCGTGTGTAGGGGGCGGGGACCGTCGGGGGCTTGGAGCGGGTGAGCCCTGACGCCGGGCCCTCCTTCCTGAGCCCCCGAACCCCTGGTCCTGGGCGGTCCTCGGGGAGCGCAGGGCTCCCATCCCCAGGGGCGGGCCGGGAAGTAAACAGAAACCCGGAGCGGCGGCGCGCGGCCGGCACAACCTGTTACCTCGCCCTGCCCTGGGCCTAAGCCAGGGCCCAGGGAGACTGGGGGTCCGGGGGTGAGGGCTCCCGAGTCCCTAGGGGTGTGGGCAGCAGTGCCTCGGATCTTGCTAAAAATAGAAGGCTGGACTGGGAATCCAAGAAGAAAGCCACTAAGAATGGGGACCTCCAGTCTGGAGGAGTGTGTCCTGCCATGAAAATGTGAGAGAAGGGGCTGTGCTTCTGGAATGGGCGAGAGTTGGATTTCTGGGAGCAAAGCGGTCAGGACATCTAAGTGCCCATTTGTGAGGGTCCTGCATTCTTGGGGAAGGAGCTGGATCTATCCCTGAGAGCCAAGTCCATAGGAAACAGGCTTCTGGGATTGTTGCCCAGATGGCAAGAGGCTGGGAGCCACACAGCTGGGCTCAGGGAAGGGGACTGTCAGGGAAGGGGACTGCAGTCCCAACGTCGTGAGATAAGGCTCCCTGGGGGCAGAGAAGGTCTGGCAGAAGCAGCTGATTTCCTTCTGCTCCCTGCCTCAGTCTACCCTAAGGACATTAACGGAGCTGGGTGGCCAACATAGATCATTAACCCTTCGTGGCCCAGGGAGGCCCTGGCTCCAGGACTGAGAGAGCCAGCTGTTGACCAGCAGGACAAAGCACGCGGGGCTGCAGGGTGACATGTCCTGTAAAGACCTGTCCCCATAGACGCTGCAGATGCCATGAACTCCCCAGAAGGACCAAGTTTCCGGTCGGGGCTGCTCTCCGGGGGCGCCTCCCCCAGCGGAGAGGAGGGCTTCTTCCCCTTTGTGCTGGAGCGGCGGGAGTCATTCCTGGGAGGGGGCCCAGGACCTGAAGAGTCCGAGGACCTGGCCCTGCAGCTGCAGCAGAAGGAGAAAGACCTGCTGCTGGCCGCTGAACTCGGCAAGATGCTTCTGGAGCGGAATGAGGAGCTGCAGCGGCAGCTGGAGACGCTGAGCGCCCAGCACTTGGAGCATGAAGAAGTGAGCTGGGCTCTGGGGCAGGTAGAGGGCAGGTGGGCCTGGGGTGGACAAGGGAAGGGAGCCAGGCAAGCAGAGGAGAAAGGAACATGGGGCAGTGTGCAGGAGGACAGGTGGGCAGGGAGATGCCTTTGGAACTGATCAGGTTGGGCTCAGTTTCCCTGTCAGTGTAGCCTCATAGTTAAAAATAAGGATTCTGGCCAGGCGCTGATGGCTGTCAGCTGTAATCCTACCTACTCAGGAGGTAGAGCTCAGGAGGATTGAAGTTCGAAGCCAGTCCAGGCAAATAGTTTGAGACCCTATCTCGAAAATATCCAACACACCAAAAAGGGCTGGCAGACTGGCTCAAGTGATAGAGCACCTACCTAGCAACCATGAGACCCTGAATTCAAACCCTAGTACAATTAAAAAAAAATCTGAGCCAGGTATGGTGGTGCAGGCCTGTAATCCCAGCAATCTGGAAGTTGAAGCAGGATCATGAGTTCAAGGCCAACTTGGGCTACATCTGTCTAAAAATAAATTAATACATACATACATAAATAGGAATAGGAATTCTGGGCTGAGAATGGAGCTCAGCTGTAGAGCACTTGCCTATCACGTGCAAAGTTCTGGGTTCTATCAGCATTTGGGGGATGGGGAGGAGGAGAAAAAGAATTCTGAGGATAAGTCAAGACCTAGGTTCAGACCCCTGCCGGCTGTGTGACCCTGGGCAACCCGCTGGTCCTCTCTGGGTCTTGAGTCTAGCTCCTCAGCAGTGTAGAGTAGCTCCCTCCTATGCCAGACTCAGTGCTCTCTACATCGTCTTCATTTTTTCCTGCCCAACACTGGGAAGTAGGAGTAGTACTTCCTTCTCCCCAGGTTGTTCTTGTCCCCACACTCACCCTGGTGCTCACATCTGGACCCCTAAATACCCTGGTGTACCTGTGTTGCCAGTCCCCATTCCTGCTCTGAGCTGCCCTGAGTGGTGACACTATGTGGCATGGAGGTGCACACATGCTCACCCCACCTCTGCAAGCCTGTGGAATCTTCTATGCCAGGTTCCAAGTTCACCCCTTTCTCATGGTCGTTGCAGCCTTTGCACTGGCAGCCCCCACCCCACTGCCCCACGCCCTGCAGTGCCCACACCTTCCCCTCTGCCCTCCTGGAGCTCATTCTTAAAGGACAACCAGTGAATTTCAAATGCTACAATCAGATCATTTCACTCCTGGCCCCAAATCTCCCCCACAATTCCTCATCACACTTAGGATGAAACTGAAACTCCTCTCCACGGGCTGGGCTAAAAGTCCCCAAGAGACATCTGGCCTCCCTGACTTGTTAGCTACACCACTCCTCCTTTGACAGGACCTTTTTTTCAGTTCCTTAAATGACTCAAGCTTGCTCTCTCAGGGCCTCTGCACCTGCTATTCCTTAACAGCCCTCTCTCCGGTTGGCTCCTGCTGGCCCTGGACAACTCAATCCAAACATTAACTAATTCTTGAAAAAGCCCCCACCCCACCCTGCTCCTCACTCTACATTGCTTCCCTGGGGTTGTTTCTTTTGGGAGGAGGGGTCTGGGGTTTTGAACTCAGGGCTTTGGGTTTACAAAGCAGGTTTTCTACTGCTGAACCATACCTTCAGCCCTCCATGGGGTTCTTCACAGCTGTGAAGAACTGTCCCTCTGAGATGACCTGGTTCAGGCATGTTGTGTCCATTTGCCTATGGCCCACTGAGTTCTAAGTTGTCGGAGGTGGTGAATTTGGTGGTCTCTCTTCACTCTTCATAGCCAGAGCCCAGGGCAGAAGGAGCTCAGGAAATGTTAGGTGGAAAGAAGGTGGAAGGTGGATGGATGTTGAGAGGGAAGCACAAGGGATGGGGCTTAGAGATATTAAGGAGACTTGCCCAGACCACTCAGCAGCACCAACACCAAGCACTGTCCAGGACAATTGTATCCCAAGCCTGCTAGCTTCATCCTGGCACCGTGCTGCCCTGTCATATTTGGGTAAGAGTTTGGCTGCCTGGATTGGCCCAATTTACCGTGTGTCCTTGGACAAGCATTTAACCTCTCTGAGCCTGTTTCCTCATCTGCGGATGTTAACACTTCTCCCTCTAGTGGATTAAATGAAATAATGTAGGTAGAGCAACAGAACACCTGTCTGGAATACTCAATGCTATAATTATTATTGTAGCAACTGCGGTCATGATATCACCTGGCCCCACCCCTTCCTGCTTTGAGGGCCTGGAGAGAGCCCCCCGCCCCGCGCCCCGACTTGTCTGCTTCCCCAAGCTGGGTACCCGGGTGTGCCAAGTGCGTCCTCCGCCCTCCCCCCAGGTCGGACAGGTTTTGGGGAGGGCAGGCAGAGGCGTGAGTCCAGGGCGGAGCAGCCCAGAGTTAATTAGAAGGAGCTGAGGAGAGGGGCTGGGCAGAGGCCGGGCCCGCAGAGCCCCCAGGACACCGCTGGTGTGCGGCGCCATGGGCCGGGGCTTAAATTCTGCCAGACTCAGGCGCCAAAAACGGCGCTTGCGTGCTCGCGTCCAGAAGCCCAGGCAGCAGCCAGAGGTGAGTGCACATCAGGGCATCCATTCCCACCCTCCACTCAGTGTCAGCCCCCTCTCTGGCTTGGGACCTTCTCTCTACCGCTCTTCCTCTGTCACCTTCCCTCTGTTCCTCTGGGTTTCGTGCTTTCTGCTTCCCTCCCTAACTCTTCAGCGCTCTCTCTCCCTCTCTCTCTCCCTCTCTCTATATATATCTCCCTCTCCCTCTCTCCCTCCTCCCCCCTGCCCGGGTGTCTGTCCCTCCATCCCAACCTCCGGGGCTGCTCCAATCTATGTCTCCCTCCTCTCTGGCCTCTGCCCCACCCCACAGCGGCTGCAGCAGGAGAATCACGAGCTCCGCAGGGGCCTGGCTGCCAGGGGCGCCGAGTGGGAGGCCAGGGCTGTGGAGCTGGAGGGGGACGTGGAGGCCCTGCGGGCTCAGCTGGGGGAACAGCGCTCAGAGCAGCAGGACAGCGGGCGCGAGCGTGCACGAGCCCTCAGCGAACTCAGCGAGCAAAACCTCCGGCTCAGCCAGCAGCTGGCCCAGGTGGGATGGTCCTGACCCTTGGAGAGGTGGGGGCTACCACATGGGTCCCCAGTGGGGGGCGGGTCAGTGGGTGCCTTGGCTTGGTGTTGAGGCCCAGGTCAGCTGAGGGTTCCACTGCTGGCTCCCCAAACCCAGGCCTCCCAGACTGAGCAAGAGCTTCAGCGTGAGCTGGACGCCCTTCGGGGGCAGTGCCAGGCGCAAGCCCTGGCGGGGGCAGAGCTGAGGACACGGCTGGAGAGTCTGCAGGCTGAGGTGAGTGGTGGCTGGGGCTGGAGCCTGGAGTTAGGGCTGGGGACCTGTCTGAGCCAGAAAGGCTCAGCGGGGGGGGGGGTCTCTGGGGCTGGCCCTTCCAACTTTGATACGTTTCTCCAGAACCAGATGCTGCAGAGCCGCAGGCAGGACCTGGAGACCCAAATCCGAGGCCTGCGTGAGGAGGTGGACAAAGGCCAGGGCAGGCTACAGACCACCCACGAGGAGTTGCTGCTGCTAAGGCGTGAGAGGAAGGAACACAGTCTGGAGGTAACCTGTGGGGCTGGAAGAGGGGACACCAGCTGGGCCCTTGGCAATAGCCTCGGAGCTTTCTGGGAGATGTGGTCAGAGCTGGATCACTGGGAGTGCAGCGGCTAGGCCAGCAGAGTATGGACGTTAGCCTGAGAGCAGCTGGGTGCCACAGAAGGCTGTGGAGCAGAGGAGGGACACTCGCAGAATGCATCAAAGCCTGGCAGCTTCAGGGACAGGACTGAGGCCAGAGCTCAGGCTAGAAATACCTGCCCGGCACCATGTTTGGGGCAGTGGAGATGGAGAAAAGGAATGAAAAGAGGGAGCTCTGATCTGATGTGTGAGGTTTCCAGAATTTATGCTGTGGGATCAGATTACCTGGATTCTTACCCAAATGCCCCTTCTTACTATTGTGAAGGTGTCTAGCCTCAGTTTCCCCACTTGTGAGTTGGAATAGTAATGGTACCCACTTCACAGGGATGTGGTGAGGGCGTGAGGCTCAGAAAGAAGGACTAATAACGCTAGATCAAAGTACTTTGTGAGGGTTAGAAGGTAGGCCAGGCAGGGGAGGGGACAGGCTCTGTAAGGTGACCTGATGGGGTGGGGCCGGGACAGGGTGATTCCTGGCACGCCCTGCCTTATAGATGAGGAAATTAGTGTCTGCCGAGGGGAAGTGCGCTGCCCAAATTGTCCTGCGATCCAAGACACGGAGAACCCGCCCCCACTGATGGGGTGGAGGGAGTAAGGGGGGTGCGGGGAGGGACGCGTGAGGTTGCCGGGCTCTCGGGCGCCCCCTATGGATTCGCCGCGGGGCGCAGGAGCCGGGCTTACAGCAGGTGCCCTCGGCCTGACCCTCTGCAGCTGGAACGCGCACGCTTCGAGGCTGGGGAGGCGCTGAGCGCACTTCGGAGGCTGCAGCGGCGGGTTTCGGAGCTGGAGGAGGAATCTCGTCTCCAAGACGCGGATGTGTCGTGCGCCTCGTTGCAGTCAGAGCTCGCTCACAGCCTAGACGGCGACCAGGGTCAGGATGCCAAGGCGTGCGGAGACGCCGAGGTTAGCTCGAGGCCCACCAGGCCCCTACCAGTGCCATCATGGAGAGGTACAGGCTCTGCCCCTCCTTCTTTTTCCACGAGATTCCACACAGCACTGTTCAATTCCTTTGACGTGCAGAGCACCTTGTCCCTGGAGGCAAAAGAAGTGTCCAGCTCCCAGCCTTCAGCCCAGGAGGAGAGCTTGGAGCCCCCCAAAAAGAGGGCACCCCTGAGCCCAGCGGAGACACTAGAGGAGAAGGAGGCAGAAGTATCCAGGCTGCAAGATGAGGTGAGGGAGGGGGCATGGCGCTGGATGCAGAGCTCTGGCAGACGTCCAGTTCTCCTTTCCATCTCAACTGCTCAGCCTTTGCCCACTAAGCCCCTTATACCTGGATTTCCCTCCATCTCAACGATCTTGCAGTCATGTTTCAAGAGCCAGCCTGCACATCCTCCGGGAAGATTTCCTGGGCTGCAACCCGTCCCCCTCCACACACACAAACCCATGCATCTCCCTGCATCCCTACTGCAGATTTATAGCCCCTCTTTTAGCTTTGTAGTACCCCACCCTGCACCAGCCTAGAATGTTTGTCGAGCAGGGAGGGGAGGGCGGGTAGAACCTGAGCCAGCCGGAAGCAGGGCTGCTTAGAAGGCCCAGAGGCCCATCTGCCTTGCTGGCCTCTCCCCTGCCGGCAGATCGCGCTGCAGCGGACAGAGCTGCAGACCCTGCGGGAGGAGCTGCAAAGGCAGAAGGAGCTTCGAGCGCAGGACGACCCGGAGGAGACCCTGAGGAGCGCACTCTCGGACCGGGATGAGGCCGTGAACAAGTGAGCCTCTCCCGTCCTTCACCACCACCCCAGGGAGCGATAGCACCCCAGAGTACTCATGTCCTTCTGGGTCCCCATTTCCCCTGCATGATATGGGTTATAATAATCTCCACCCGAGTAGGGGTGCTCAGGCCTCCTTGGTCTGTTAGAGGCTCCCCTCCCGCCGGGGCCCTTGAGTCCCCAGCACCCCAGGACCCGTTCTCCGCCCCTCTCTCCTACAGGACCCTGGAATTGTCTCTGGAGCTCAGCCGCGTCTCGCTGGAGCGGGACTCCCTGTCTCGCGAGCTGCTGCGCACGATCCGCCAGAAGGTGGCGCTCACGCAGGAGCTCGAGGCCTGGCAGGTGAGGGGCGGGGCCAGAGGAGGGGCGGGGCCTGGGCGGGGCCGGAGGGGCGAGGCCAGGGCGCAGCCGGCCCTCTGACCCGTCCCGCCTCCTCCCAGGACGACATGCAGGTGGTGATTGGTCAGCAGCTGCGCTCCCAGCGCCAGAAGGAGATGGGCGCCGCCGCGGCCCCGCGCCGCGCCACGACCCGCTTCTCACTGCGCCTGGGCCCTGGGCAGGCCGGCGGCTTCCTCAGCAACCTCTTCCGAAGGACTTGAGGACGGCCACCCTTGCCATTCCGGACTCACTTTCCTTTAATGGCCAATGGAGCGACAGGGCCTAGATGTCTTCCAAGTGGGGCTGGTGCCCTCCCCAGGAGGCTGGACGGGGCTCTTCAGGAGGGTCAGCTTTGGGGCAGGTGCCCCAGGTGGGTGGCGGGGACAGGCAAGGCAGAGTTGTCTGTTCTTCGAATCTGTGTAGGTCTATCTTTCCTAGGCACTAGGTCCTTGCTGTGGTCTACTCCAGGGTAGGGGTGGGGATGGGTATTTATGTGTCAAGATCAGCTAGAGTGATATATAAAGCACTACACCGACTTGGCCTTCATTCTTGGGAAGGAAGTGTATAGAAGAAAAGCTTGAAACTTTATTGTAAAAAATAATAAAACATAATCATAAAAAGAAAAACGAATACAACCCCCTTCTGCTTGCTGGGGAAGGGCGTCAGATATCAGAAGGACAGAGAGAAGGCTCGGTAACCCAAGTTGGTGAAGACATCCACTCGGCAGCTGTTGCCCGCAGCAGTCAGGACCTGGGGACAAGAGAGTCATGACTGACCTGCCCAAAGGCACAGGCCTCCCGGGATTCCCAGGGCCCCTTTAAGACTCACCTTGCACTCGGGGGCCGCTGGCTGCTGGTTGAGGCTGAGGCTGAGCAGTCCTGGGGAAGAGCCAGGCACCTGAGCCTTGAGCTCCCCACTCAGTTGCCACTGATTGACACAGCGGCCCTGGCCTGCGGACAGAATCTGTGAAGGACAGGGAGGGAACTCACGGGTCAGGGATGGAAAGGGGAGCCAGGCAGGGGTGGCAGAAGCGAGACAGAGGGCCTCACCAGGTCCTGGTAGAAGGTGACATGTTTCTGTGGTGCCCGCATGGGGAAGATGGTGGTGGGAGTGGAGGATCGAAGGTGCCAGAGAGTGAGGGCTGGGCCACCTCCACAGACCTTGGCAGAAAGGCAAGAATCCCCAGCCACAATGAGCCATGGGCCCTCAGCTAAAGGGCCCAGAACTGTCACCCCAACACATACTCTGCCCAGCTCACCATCCAGTCTGAATCTGTTGCCAAACATCCAATCCAGCGGCCATTATGGGGCCTTGCACACTCCTGGGAGGGAGAAGGGCAGAGGTGAGGCCAGAGGGAGGGATGGGAGGATGTGACAGACAGCAGGAAGGTGGCTCATACCCTCACCTCGTGCTTATACACCTCGATGGTCTGGACCTCTTTGGCTGTGCGGAGATCTGTGGGTAAAAAAGCCACAAGGGTCCCAATGAGTCAGTCCCAGCCTCCCTCACTGCCCTGCCCTCCAACCAGCTATCCTCTTACCCCAAAGACGCACAGCCCCATCCTCGCCACCAGACAGCACCTCAGGGCTCCGTTCCCGCAGTGCCAGACAATGGATGTAGTCAGTGTGGCCCCGGAGGGCCCGCTGCAGGGAAAGGGAAAGGATTAGAGGGAGACTCAGGAAGCAAGCCTCCCCTTGGGATGACCTACCCTGGCTCCAGGACCCTGCTTACAGTGAAGGTCCCAGTTTCAAGGTCCATAGTGTGCAGCTGGCAATCTCCCCCAGCCAGAATGAGGGAATTCTCCTATAGAAGAAGAGAAAGCAGGGTGGGGCAGATAGTCAGTGTCAAATTCCCATAAAGAGAGAGCGAAGGACTAAGGTTTGGGCCAAGAGCTGTGGCAAAGGACTAAGACCTTGGGGGCGAGCAGCAAGGCATTGATCTCAGGCACTTCCAGGCTGGTCCTGGGGGAGGAAGAGAAGGTCAGTATTAGAGAGGCAGTACCCTCCCAACATGCCCTCACCCACAGAGCCCTGGCTCACCTGTATGGGGGCTGACGCCGCCACAGTTCCTTACAGCCCTTCATTGAGAAATGTACAGGGAAAAAAAAACAACAGGTGACCTCACAGGCTCTCTTCAGATGGGGCAGCCCAATCCTTCCCCAGGTCCTGGACTCCTTACCTTCTTAAGGATCTCTGCCCAAAGCCAGGCCTTCACCTCCCCATCCCCAGCACTGAGCAGCTGGCGATCAGTGGAGACCATGCTGTAGACAGGCCCATCATGGGCTAAAAGGAAACACAGAACCTGAATGAGCCCATCCTGCCCCTCCTCCAACCTGGAGCCTCCTAAGTCAGGCTCAACAGCTATACCCACCTTGGAAGGTCACCACAGGCTTCTTGCTTTCCTCTTTAGCCTCAGAACTCAAAGCAGCGGACAAGCTGAAAGAGAGAGGCAAGGACAAACCAGGGGTCAGAAGCAAGGTGCATCAGTCCCAGCAGGATCAAACACCAGCACTCACGGGTAGTGGGGATCAAGGGCAGAGGGTACCTGAAGATGGCAATCTGCCCATAATTGTTGCCAGCCGCCAGGAACTTCCCACAGGGCGAGACACTCTGGGAGAAGATGGTCATGTGTAGCCGCTGCAGGGTCTGAAACACCTCTGTCTGTGGGGAGAGGCTGGATGAGGCCAGTCTGGGACCTTCACCCACAGATTCCTGTTTGCCTTCCCCGCCACAGGCCTGGCCTCCCACTACACAGACTTCTCAGCCCTCTTTTGAGGTGGCCCCACACATAGGTACCTTCCCATGCAGTCCCAGAGGTGGCTCCAAGAAGAGGATGAGTGAGGAAAGACGAGTTGAGGCAGGGTGCCTAATAGAACTTTGAACAAGCACTGAGCCTCTCCCATCAGTTTCTCCAATGGTCAGATGGTGTTCACGGGACAATGTCACGATTAGATGAAGTAATGTATATAAAGAGCTTTGCACAGAAAGGGCTTAAGAAGTGGTCTTCCTGGCATGAATCAATACACTAGTTCAAAAGTAACTAAAACAAAAAGGTGCCTGCCTAGCAAGCACAAGTCCTCTGTTCAAGCCACCAGTGCCACAAAAAAAAAAAAAAAAAAAAAAATGGTTCTTGTGCCCAGTGGGGAGTGGGGATCAAGGCTCAGGCCTGCTGGCTGGTAGAGTGGTTCAAATGGTAGAGTACCTGCTTAGCAAGCATGAGGCCCTGAATTCAAGCCCCAGTACCGAAAAAAAAGAAAAAAAGAAAAAAAAAGACTCAAGTCTGTAAACTTAGTTGAGTGGAGGAAATCAGAAGGAAGGGTCGCAGTTCTGTTCGCCAAATCCCATCTCAACCCATAGTTGATCTCGGTGGCTTATATCTGTCATCCCAGTAAGGCAGAAAGCACAAATAGGAAGATAGAAAGTTCTATCTCAAAAATAACCAAAGCAAAAAGGGCGGGCGGTGTGGCTCAATTCGTAGAGCCTACCAAGGTGTTGAGCCTACTGGTTCAACACCGCCACTACCAACAAAAAAATTGGTTCTTGCACAATTATTATGTGTCAATTTTTTAAAAAGTGGTTCTATCATCCCAGCATAGAAAAACGTACTGATATTCACTCCTTATCCTCTGACTTTGATGTTAGGTCTGAAGATTCTTCTGGGTTACTCTCCCGCCCCTGATTCGAGTACAATTGCACCCACACGCCAGGGCTCTCGCGCTATTCCTTACCCACCGGGTCCTAGCCACGTATGGGACTACAAACCCCAGAAAGCACCGCGCACGCACCCTGCTCACCTGACCCAGAGGAACTGCGAGCGGTGAAGCGCGCTCCATCTCCAGAACTACAAGTCCCAGGATGCTCCGCGTGCAACTCAGCTTCACGACTGAGGACGTGCAGGCGAGCGGCTCCTCTTCGCGGCTCCCCAGAAACTCTAAACTGCCGGCCGGCCCGGCGCAAAGGCGATCGCTACGTGCCGTCCACACCCCAGGAACCGAAGAGAGAGCCGTGAAACTCTCTTACTCTAAGAAGTGCTGCCCGTGGCTGCCCCACTACGTCGGATCCCCTCCCCCATCCCGCCGAGCAATCCCGCCTTCCAGCCGCGCGCCGCTGGGGTTCCGTGCCTGCGCAGAACTAATCACTGCGTGCCCTGGAGCCCCGCCTCTCACGTTGGGCCACGCCCCCACAGGCCACGCCCCCGACGGCCGATTCCCACCCCTCTATCCGCCAGACCCCATACACTAATGATCTTGCAGCAGCCCCTGGAACGAGGCCCCCCGGGTCGGGCCCTGCGCGACCCGCGGGCTGCCTCATGGGCAGCTCGGGGCCTGGACGCCAGGTGCGTGTGGGGGCCCTGGGTGGGCCCGACTAAGGGACGCAAGAGCTTTGGCTGGCGACTCAGAACTGATCTGCAGAATAACACTGGGTGGGGCAAACCGCGGGGCTTGGGCTTGAGTTGAAGTCCAGGCTGAAGCTGGGAGCTCAGGGTCGAGACTTCTGAGATAGGCTGTTGGATAGCCCGGGGAGGAGGTGACTTAAGGAGGTACTGAGACAGGACTGGGCTGGGGTTCCTGTGGCTCACTCTGCAGGCTCAGGTGGGCAGATCCTTGGGAAGGGGCCAAGAAGGTGGTGTGCACCTGGCTCTCTCTTTTTCCCAGCTCCCCTCTGCGAGGAGCTGTGCCCATGAGCACCAAACGGCGCCTGGAGGAGGAGCAGTGAGTTTGAGGGCAGGGAGGGCTCACAAGATGTCACCTCTGGTCCCCATCAGGCTGCCTCCCCTCTCAATATCCCTGCCTGCCTTCCTTCCCATCTTTCCCCAGGGAGCCCTTGCGCAAGCAGTTCCTGTCCGAGGAGAACATGACCACCCACTTCTCTCGACTCAGCCTACATAATGACCACCCCTACTGCAGCCCCCCCATGGCTTTCCCTCCAGCCCTGCCCCCACTCAGGTAGGTACATCCATTGGCCTTCTAGAGAATCACACCCGTCCTCAAAGCCAGTCCTCATCAAGCCCTGCCTCATCAGGCTATTTTTAGCTTCCAGACTTCTGTGCTGTTTCCAATCTTGGCCCTGAGATCTGGACCTGGTGGGAGGTGGCTCTGCCAAGCCAGCCTTCATCCCCAAGCCTTGACTGTCATTTCCTCTACCAGGAGCCCTGGATCTGAGCTGCTGCTCTGGCGCTACCCTGGAAGCCTGATCCCTGAGGCCCTCCGGCTGCTGAGGCTGGGGGATATCCCCAACCCCCACTATCCTGCAACCCCAGCTGGAGATTCAGTGGAGCTCTGAGTGGTGATGGGCAGTGCCCCTCTCCACCTTCATCCCCACTACAGAAGAGAGCAGCAATCCCCACGAAGGCACTCGGTTGTCTCCTGAACCAGTATGGGAACCAGGACCCTCCCCCAAAAGAGGACACTGAGCTCAGTGGAGCCCTGGAGAGGAAGGGGCAGATGCATGGTATCCCCCCGAAGTTAATAAAGATTGCTGAGCAGTTGAACGCTTCAGTCTTGAACCCCAGGCCTCTGGGGAGGGTGGGGTGCTGGATGCCAGGGGTTTCTCCTCAAGATCTTCCCTGGAAAACGGTTAGGGCAGGCCAGGTCCTGGCAGTCTGGGCTCCAGGCATTGAGAATGTGTGAGTCAGAGCCTCACCCCCGCCCCCGCGGCTGACTGACTCACTGCCTCTCCAGCTCTGAGGAGTCAAGCTGGGGACCATGCCACACTCGAACCATTTAAAGTTAAAGATTCTTTTATTAATAAGTTCTCCCCTCTAAAGCTTCTCCCCCAAATAAATATCCCTTTCCCCCCTTTGGAGGCTGGGGGGTTCTTTATTTTAGGACCAGCCCTACTAGAGAGCCAGCCCCCTAGTGTCAAGAACAGGTCCCTAACCCCCAGGCTGAGACCCTGATGGTGGAATTTCAGTCCATCTGAGTGGGTGGGGCCCGCTGTTTTGTCAGCCGGGCCTCCAGGGCATCAGGGGAAGCAGAAGGCCCCCTCGTGCAAATACTGCAGTTTCTTGGTGTGGTCTGTGTAAGCCAGCATGAGGCTCCCTTTCTGTCCTGGAGCCAAAGACAGCAGTCAGACATCTTGGAAGGCTCCTATGCCTGGTTCAGGGCTTGGAGGTGATTCACCACCCCCACCCCACCCCACCCCCTGTGGTTCGAAGAGCTCGGCCCTGGCTGTGTCTGGAAGGCAGGGGCTGGCTCCAGAATGAATGAATGAATGGTGAGTAGGCACAGTATGGTCACTCAGTCACTGGATCAGTGCCACACCTGGACAGCCCTCTCCACCGGTCTCCTCTATGGGGGCTGCAAGAGAAGAGGTGGGGTCGTCATGAGCAGGGGAAATGTGGAGGAGTGAGTGGGGGGGCGGCCAGCAGCAGCGTACTTACTGGTAAACTTCTCTCTCCTGCGGCACCGTCTCCAGACCAGGAAGACAGAAAGTAGCGTCAACACCAGGCCCAGGCTCAGGGCTCCCCCCAAGATGGGCCAGAGCAGCCGGAAGGGGGCGGGAGGTGCCGTAGCGCCTAAGGGCCAGGACTCCAAGTCAGACCTCGCCCATCTCCACACCAGTCCGGCTCCCTACAATTGGGCCTCAAGCCTGCCCCCTCTGTGGCCCTCACTCTGATAGAAGCCCCTTCCCCACTCGCTCCTTCTCTCGATTAATTTCTCATATCCTAAGTCCTCTGCCCTCTTCTCCATCCACCCCAACCCTTTTCTCCCTTCTGGGGTCCACTCACAGCCCAGGCAGAAGTCGCTGTGCGGTCGCGCCGGGCACGACGCGCAGTCCATACACTTGTCGAGGTCCGCACTCCATGAGCTGCCGCGAGAGCAAGGGCCGGTGCCTGGGGAAGGGGCCGCGGGTCAGAGGCTGGGGGCAGGGCGCGGCTATTCTGGGGGCTGAGGTCAGGGTCGGTCGGCTCGAATAACGTGAGTCACCGGCGCCCCCTCCTCCAAGCATTCCTCACAGGTGACCGAACAGCCTGACCGGGACACGGCAGTGCAGGGGGAGCGTGTGGCGCGGAACTTGAGGGGGGGGGTCAGGTCCCCACAACTCCCCCCGCCGCCAGCGGGTGACTCACTCCTGGGCACGGGGCCCGACCCCGGTACCTCCCCCTGCATAGCTGGGCACTGAAGTCACCGGATGGAAGGGGGCACCCCGCATGGTATAGAGGACACAGACCCCCATGCTTCTCGACACCCCTCCGCGACTCTTGGATCCCTGGGGCTAGGCAGACCCCCGTACAGACCAGGCTGGGGGCGTGCCCCCTTACCAGACGAAACATCCTGCTCTCAAACTTCCTCTCTCTAGTTTTGGTACTGACTTTGGGGACAAAAGACCCCCAATTGGACAGGTAGAGACCTGAGGCCCGGACAGCGGATGAAGCATGGAATAGGACTTTCCCATTTCACCAGGAATCAGGGGGTCTGAAGAAGACTCCTGATTCCAGACCCCTACTTACGTCCGCCCGGTTCCCCAGTTCCGCCCGGTCCTCCAGGCCCCCAATCGAGGCTCCCGACCCCCGGCCCGGGGTACCCGGCTCCCGCATACCTGGCGCCTGCTCCCCGCTCGCGGCGCAAAGCAGCCCCAGCCCCAGCACGAGGAGCGGCAGCGGCGGGCGCAGGGAACCCGGAGCCATAGTGTGCGTTCCGCGGCCGCCACCGTCTGCTCTCGCAGCCAACCCCAACGCCACGACCCAGGACAGCTGCCCCGCCTCCGCCCCCGCCTTCCGGGGCGGAGTCCTCGCCTCTGCCCGCCCAGCCATGCGCTCCTGGACGCCGGGCCAGGCGCCGTCCGCTAAGTTCAGTCATTTGTTCACCAAGCAGTTCCCGCGCGCGCTCCAGAACCCGACCGGGCCCTCTCCTCAGGTCCAGAGAGTGTGGGATACGGGGAGTCTGCTATGACACAACCCATGCAGATATCATAATTGCAGCTTTCTTTTTTTTCTTTCCTCTATGTACCCCAGGATGGTCTTGAACATGCGATCTTCCCCCCTCAACTTCCGAGTAGCTGAGCTTACAGGCGCGCACCGTACAGCTTTCTTAAGGCCTTCGAAAGCACAATGACAACATAGAGGGCGCCGATGGCTCACGCCTGTAATCCTAGCTACTCGGGAGGCAGAGATCAGGAGTACTGGGGTTCCAAGCCAGCCTGAGCAAATAGTGTCAGCAGCCCTATCTTGAAAATACCCAACACAAAACAGGACTGGCGGAGTGGCTCAAGTGGTAAAGCGCCTGCCTAGCAAGCGTGAAGCCCTAAGTTCAAAACCCAGTACCGGAAAAAAAAAAATCAGTCCCACTACACAACTACAAAAAGTAAAATAATGCCAAGAGATTATGCGTCCCTTAATGTGTACCGACTAAGGTACGAATACTAAGCTGCAGGCTTCTTACCCCCATTTTGCAGAGTAGGAGACTGAGGTTCGGGAAGGTTGGGTGAGTTCTGGAGTTACAGTACCAGTGAGCGGCACCTGGGACGTCAGCCAGCCAGGGTCCCTGCACCTATCCAGCCGGTTGCAGGTGCTGCCTCCCAGTTCTCCAGCGTCCCCCGGACCAGGCTGAGAAGCGCGTTCGACTGCCAACGGGGCTGGGGTCTCTGCCCCTCCCTCAGGGAGGTGGTCCAGTGACGTCATTGCCTCTTTAAGACCCCCCGCCTCCGTCCCTATCCACGCACTCGGCCTACGGATCTCTCTGGTGTCTTTCGCAGGTGAGCTTGGGGCAAGAGTGCAAGTTGGAGGAGGGACGGACGCCTCGCGGAGCCAGGTGCAGGGGTCGTGGCGACGTGAATGGGAAATGGTGGGGAGAACTGGAGCTGCGCTCCTGGCCGCAGCCACCTGGGTCTACGAGTACCTGGGCTGTACCGAACCCAGCGCGCGATCGGGTCCTTCGGCGGCTCCAGAAGGGTTTAAACGCTCCTCCCCCTACCCTGGGACAAAGGCACCGAAACCCCGGGTACCCCTCCCCCACCGGCCTGGCCTCTCTGGGGTGGGGCTCCCCTCCCCCTCACCTGCGGGAACCGACCCTGCTGCTGGCGCCATTAAACCCCTCCCAGACGCGCCGTCCTAGGCAGCGGTGGCCGAGTGGGCCGCAGTGGCTGAGTCGGCTAGGGTGCCTTGGTACAGAAATGAGCCCTCTGTGTGTGGATAGGAAAGGGGACGAGGGCAGGGGCGCACACAGAGGGGCGAATCTCCCCTGAGATCATGAGCTCTGCCGCCTGGGTGCGAGGGCAAGTGAGAAGGGAGTCAAAAACTGGCCCTGGGCCACACTGCGAGGGGCACCAGTCTTTGATTTAAGCCTTGAGGGAAGAACTAAGGGGGGAGCCACAGCGGGGTCCTGAGCAGAGCTGGTTCCTGTGTGCCTCTAACACAAAGTGAGACCTGAAGGACACAGGTGCAAACCAGGAAGACCGTGGAGGAAGTGACAGAGCCCTGGGAGTTTAACTTCTCTTGAGGGAAGTTGTGTCCTGAGAGGACCCCACCATGACCTATGCTCTCAAATACGGAAGAATGTCCCCAACCTTGAAGGCACTGCTCTCTGACCCCAAGGGAGGGCCAAGGGTGCTTTGGAAAAGAAACTGCTTCTGGGTGAGAGGGTTTGTTTGCTGCCCCTCTAGGCCTGGGTGGTAGGCCACCTCTGTGGTGAAGAGGCCAGCTAGGGACTAAGATGAAACTAGTATCTACCTGATAGGGAGCAATGAGTTTGGACCTTGGGTGGTGGGAGGAAGCTGGAGATCTCCAGCCTGTGTTGAAAATGAGAAGTTTTGAGACTTAAACTCATGGCTCAGAACCAGACCACTGGGAAATTAGGCTGTTTTTCTATTCCTCTTTTTGCCACCTGATAAAATACACTGCCAAGTGGTCATGTCTGTGGACTGGCTTGGGCATCGACTTAATCCGGTTGCCTTTCATCTGCATCCAATCAGCCAGAATTGCCTGTTTATTCACTGTCCTAAGTCAGCACCTGTATGTAACTAGGAAAACATTAATTAAATGCTTAGTTTGCCCATAAAAAATGAAACCCAGGGAATGTACATATATACCCTGTATTGCCGGACATGGTGACCGACTTCCAGGGTTCCTGTATAAGGGACCGAGGCAGCAACTCCTAACAATCCTCTGCGTCTGTTTCTTGCAGTGCAGCTTCCTCACCATGGCTTCTTCTGGTCTGCAAATCCTGGGAGTCATCCTGACATTGCTGGGCTGGGTGAAGGCCCTGGTGTCCTGTGCCCTGCCCATGTGGAAGGTGACAGCTTTCATCGGTAACAGCATCGTTGTGGCCCAGGTCGTGTGGGAAGGGCTGTGGATGTCCTGTGTGGTACAGAGCACTGGCCAGATGCAGTGCAAGGTGTATGACTCCCTGCTGGCCCTGCCCCAAGACCTGCAGGCGGCACGAGCTCTCTGTGTCATCACCCTACTCGTGTCTCTGTTTGGCCTGCTGGTCTACCTTGCTGGTGCCAAGTGCACCACCTGTGTAGAGGACAAGGACTCCAAAGCCCGCCTGGTGCTCACCTCTGGGATCATCTTTGTCATCTCAGGAGTCCTGACCCTGATCCCTGTCTCCTGGACTGCCCACGCCATCATCCAGGACTTTTACAACCCCTTGGTGGCTGAAGCCCAAAAGCGGGAGCTGGGGGCCTCCCTCTACCTGGGTTGGGCTGCCTCAGGCCTTTTATTACTGGGCGGTGGGCTGCTATGCTGCACCTGCCCCTCTGGAGGGTCCCGGGGCCCCAGCCATTACATGGCCCGCTATTCGGCATCTGCCCCTCATTCCGCTTCTCGGGGGCCCTCTGAGTACCCCACCAAGAATTACGTTTGATAAGGGTGGGGAGTGAGGGCTCCATTGGGCAGGGAGCCTTGGCCCCTGAGCTGGAGCCACTGAAAGATGGAGAGGGTACTGCCTGAAGCTCTGGAGTTGATTTTTACCTTTTCTTTTTTTTTTCTTTTTTTATGGGGGAGGGTAAACTGTTTAAATCCATTTGATAACTGAATCAAGATGACAGACTCCCACCTATGTTAGTATTTCTCACCTTTGGATAATGGAGCCAAAGAAGTGATGCTTCTGGATCTTTCTTCACCCTGAGTCTCCACATCTTGGTAACCAAGTTGGAGCTATGGAACCAGCTGAAGGCTGCTTGCTGTTCTGGCTTTTGTGATCACAAAGATGGCCTGTCCCAAGAGTTCCTGCTGCTGCTGGGGGGTTGGACTTCCCTAAACTTCCAAGGACAGCCACACCCCTTCCTGCTCAGGCCTGTCTTCTCAGCCCTTGAAGGGCAGGTGATAAGTTACCAAAGAATCATCCACTCTGTGTCTTCTTACCACTGGCTCCTGCACCTGGTTACCCCCTCCCTGAGTCAGGTCCCAGCTATGCTATATACCCCCCCCCCACGCACACCACACACACACACACACACACCCCTTCAACCTTGCACACTTGCCCATTCACCACCCACACTCACAAAGTTTTACTAAATAAAGATTTTTTTTTTTAATGTGCCTTTGGTGTTGCTGGGGGCTGAGTGCCCAGCCTAACTAGAGGAGAAGGTGGGCATAGGTTAATGATCCCTTGCCCTATGCCAGTCCTGGCAGACCGCATGACCTAAGTGAGATTGCCCACTGGGTAGGACCTGGAGCAGGCCTTGGCCCAGAGACACCTAGGGAGGCTGTTGACAGATCAGATGAAACCCAATTACAAATGCTTTTTATTCTTGCCTTACAAGTGGGGGAGCAGGGGCCTCTTGGACAGAGGTGGTGGTTGGGCCAGATGGAACCAGCTTCAGGGAATTGTCTGCTCTTTATTTTAGAGGCCAGTGGCTATTGCCCTTGGAGTAAGGGCAAGGGAAGGCTAAGGAAGAGGAGTGCTAGTTTGAGGGCAGAAGGAAGCAACAAGGGGGGGAGGGAGGGACAGCACCCAACAACTTTGGCCCTGTCTCAAGGTTGGGACCACTGAAGGCAGCTCAGCCAAGGCCTGGATAAGCTTTGTCAAAGAGGGAACGGATTGGGCAGGAGGGTTACAGTAGTGACAGGTAACAGGCTATACTGGAGGTTCCTGAAGAAAGCCACAGCCTCACACATAGTCCCTCTTGTCCAGGCCTGATGCTCCCGAGCGGGAGGGAATGGAGTAGCCCAGCCTAGGTCCATGGGGCCGCTCGATCTGGGGTGGGGGGCATGTGCAGCACAGCAGCCCCCCACCCAGCATAAGCAATGCAGCCGCTGCCCAGCCCAGGTAAAGGGAGGCCCCTAACTCCCGCTTGAGGGCCTCGGCCACCAGTGGGTTGTAGAAGTCCTGGATGATGGCGTGGGCTGTCCAGCAGACTGGGATGAGCACCAGGATGCCAGCAAGGAGGAGGACGACCCCTGCAGTGAGCACGATGCGGGCTTTGGCACCTTCATCCTCCACACATGTAGTGCACTGGGCGCCCGTGATGGCCACCAGCAGGCCAAGCAGGGCCAGCAGGAGGGCAACAACACACAGAGCTCGTGCAGCCTGCAGGTCCTGGGGTAGGGCCAGCAGGGAGTCATACACCTTGCACTGCATCTGGCCGGTGCTCTGTACCACACAGGACATCCACAGCCCTTCCCACACGACCTGGGCCACAACGATACTGTTGCCGATGAAAGCGGTCACTTTCCATAGGGGCAGGGCGCAGGAGACAAGGGTCCCTAGCCAGCCCAGCACAGCCAGGGTCATGCCCAGGAGTTCAAGGCCAGTTGAAGCCATCTGCCCTCAGGTTAGGTCTTCTCAACCCCGGGAAGACTGACTCAGAGTGGAAGTCAGAAGGACCAGATGAGGGGTCTTGGTGCCCAGTAGAAGATGGATCTGTTGTCCTCAGGTCAGGCCAGTCCTCACATCTGTGGGCCTTTCACAGGTGTGTGATACTTACTGAACACGAGCTGGTCTCCAGGTCTTCCTCAGTTGAGAGGCTGTGTCTTCTTGGGGACCTGTTGCCCATCAACACCTTGTAGTCACGTTCAAGGGGAGCTCACACAGCAGGGTCCCTGCAGACCTAGCATACGACTGGGGAGAGCCTGGTCCTCTCTTGGCTGGTGCTGCTTCTCGCTGAGCCTGTGCCACCTGGGGCCTCTGCCGGCACCTGCTGCAGGCTGGGTTTTAAGGCCCAGGCAGGGGAGGAGTGCAGTGCCCAGAGGCCATGATTGGATAGCAGGACCTGAGTCATGGGGAGGAGGGGTCTGGGGTAAGTGCAGTGGGGGAGCCATCAGGGTCAGTTGCGGGGGAGTACTGAGACCAGGCAGGGGCAAGGGAAGAACATTCTTGCTGGGAACCCAGGGATAAAGGCATGAAAAGACTGAGGACAATCTCAGGAATAGAGGAGGGGAGGAAGGGGGAGCCAAAAGGCAATGAATTGGCAGGGGACACAGAACAAGGCAGATGGGGCCTCGCCCTGAATCTGCCCCTTCCCCGATTATGCCGCCCTTGGCCCCATTTTGTGATGATGCAGGTGTAGTCTCCTTTCCTCCCCACCCCCACCCACCCGGGACTCTCTGGAATCTGATCTTTCTCCTGTCTCAGCTCAGTGGCCCTGGCAGCTCCCCAGGGAGGGGCCCCGCCCGCAAGGTTCCCCAGGCAACAGGTGCCTGGCGCCCAGCTCAGGTCGCATTGTCCTGGCAACGGCCTAGAAAACTACCCCCCCCCACACATACACACACCCCTCTACCTCAGCTCAGGTGTGCCTGCCTTCCCCCCTCCCCCACCGAAACTGGTGTGGGAGGTGGGCACTGAGTTGAGCTACTGAAGGTCTCTAGAGGACAGGGGATGAAAAGCTTGTTGTGGAGGTGGAGAGGGGCACAGAATGACCTGGGGGTAGAAGGGGAGGGACACACAGGGACCTAGGGGAAGGGTGCACTCGCAGAACCACTCTTTCTCATAGCTGCATGAATGGCCAGGCAGGCTGAGACACCATGGAGGTGGTTTAGAGGACTCCGGTGTCCTCAGCCCTGCTTTACAAGCCACAGGAATGACTCGTGACTCTCCCTTCATGGGAAGCAGCCTGGGAGTCACCCAGACCTTGGGTCAAATCCTGACCCCTAACAGGAATCATCACAGAAGATCAAGTTTCCTTAACTGCCACAAGAACATGCTCATTTTGGGGATTCACCAGCTGCCTCAAGCTCTTCCCTGGAAGCCAAGAACTCCTGAGGACTATGATTTATCTGAAAAGGGAGATGGGCACATTCCCTTCCATTCACACACTCTACAGGGAGGTGAGGGGGTCCCCTTGTTGGCCCTCACCCTGGACAGCCTGTCACCTTTATACCTCCACCAGGGCTGGGCACAAACTGGAGCCAACCAGGCACCTGGCACCAGTGGGGACAGGTCTAGAGGCTTCCCTGAACCACACACACACGTACATCTGGGGATTAGGTACATCTCTGCTTAGTGTTTTTGGGGACTTTTTTTGTGGTACGTGGGGTCAAACTCAGGGCCTTGCAATTGCTAGGCAAGTGCTGTACCACTTGAACTATGCCCCCAGCTCTTTTTGATTTGGTTTTTTTAGATAGGGTCTCATGTTTATGCCTAAGTGGCCTGGATGGATATCTTATTTATGCTTCCCATACAGTAGGCACATACAACCACCCTCACCTTTTTATTGGTCAAGAAGGGGTCTCAAAAACTTTGCCTAGGCTAGCCTTGAACCATAATCCTCCTGATCTCCGCATCCCAAGTAGCTAGAACTACAAGTATAAGCCACTATGTCCAGCTCTTGGGTCTTTATTTACAAAGGGTTCTAGCTTCTAGAATTACTCATGATTGGAACCCAGGGGTGGAGCTTGCTTCTGTGTATGGGTTTTAGTACTTCTGGAAGAAAGGTTTCTGTTTTCATCAGATTGCAAAGGAATCTGTGACTCCCAAAAGCTGAGAATCTCCTTCACCACAAACAAACAAACAAAAAAAATAGACTGAAGCCAGCACCAGTCAGCTGCTCTGGAAGGTAGACTGGGTGCAGGCTTCCTCCCTCCCTACAGGGAGTCTCTTCCAGGGTGAGGGGTACCCCCTACCCACCCCTACCCAACCAGAGGAGGTGGAGGTGCCTCTTTTGCAGTATCAGGGCTGGAAGCTGATGACAGTGGGCTGAACAGTGGCTTAGTCTCCAGCCCTCAGGTGATGAGGTCAGGTTTGTCCAGCTCATCCAGCCCCTGGGGCTTGGATTTCAGTGTGGAGGTGAGGGGACAGCTAAGAAGAAGGACAAATAGAGCCAGTCGGTCAGTGGGCTCCCTGAGAGGCCTTCCAGGGGCTGCCAGGAATCCAGCTGCACAGGTTTGGGCAGGTGTCAAGCAGCAGGGACAAGCCTGAGTCCGGAAGGGCCCACCAACCCCACCCTGGGGAGCTCTAATGCAGGAGCTTTTCTCTTCCCCAGGCACACAGAAAGTCTTCCTCTTGCCTTGGGTCTCAGTGACCAACTTACACCAGTTGGTCTGGGACATCCCTGGTTGAGTTCTTCATCCTAGGGAAACTCGAGACAGTTGGTCAATCTGCACTCAAATTTTGCCAGGTAGGGCTCACCAGTTCCACAGGCAGCTTTAGACCCCAAACAACGTAACCAGGTCGGGGGCAGCACACACCTGTGGTCCCATAGTGGAGACCAAGAGGACCCCTGTTCCTCTGTGGCCCTGAAGTGTGTTTTGCTCACCACATGCTACCCTGAGGCAAAGCAGGTGCAGTCCAGTGCCAGGAACCCATCAGCCACTGGGAGGTGTGTGCTGGAGGACATGGACACCTCCCCAGTGATCAGTCCCTGCTGGCCTGGCCCTTAGGTGACCCAGGGAGTAAGTCTCTCATTCCTCCTCTCTAAAATAAGGCCAAGTCACTCAGGCACGAGGGGGGAGAGCAAAGATAGGGTTAGAGTTACCCCAAAGCATTCAGAGAGTGTGCAGTAGGGCTGAGGAGCTGCCCTCTGGGGCAGGACCTAGGGCATGCAACAGGAGTGCCCCTGACAAACTTGGCCTTCAGCCTTTTTGGGGCCTAGCTAGGAGGTTCCAGTCCCTCTCTTAGGCCACCCCTAGTCCACCTGGTCTCAGTCCAGTCCTGGAAACCAAAGGGTTAAAATTGGGACCTAAATAGGGACTGAAGAGGGGGGCTGGAATGCCTTTGATAGGGAGAGGTGGGGCCTCTCTGTGTAGTTTACCATCTCAATGGCACTTTAACAGGTCCTCTGGAATCCCCACCCCCATCTCCACAGATCAGAAAAGAGGTGAGGAAAGAAAACCTCCCCCACTACAGTACCCTTGGAGAAACCAAGGCTGGGGCCTTGCCCTCTACAACCCACCCCTGTGCAAGCCAGACCCTGACCTCCAAAAGCTGGCTTCAGCTACTTGAGATCATGCAGGCCTCTGGGTGCTATTCCCAGCAGACAGTGAGACAGAGCCTCCTCTAGCTGAGCCTCCCTTGCACCACCCATTCCTCTGGACCCCTCCATTTCTTCCCCAGAGAGAATCTGATCTGCACGTGATTACAAGGGAAGTGGTCTTCCATTCTCTGGTGAACTTTCACCTGGTCTGTGTCCTTGATGCCAAAGGTCCAGCACCTTGTGCTCTCCTCAAGCAGTAGGCAGCAGGCTGGACTCCTACCCCAGGATCATCAGGGGCAAGTCACAGCTGCCCAACTTCAGGGGCCTCTAAGCTATAAAGGGGGAGGTAACACCTTCTACCTCCAAGCTCACTGTGGGCACATTCCTGGGCCAGCACCCCACTTTGGGAATCACTGTAGGGACTGACTCAGACAAGAGCATTTTGCCAAAAGCGTAAGGGCAATTTCACCTGTGATCTGCACAGAGGCCATGAACTGGGTAGCAATTATTAACTTTATTATCAGTTACGATCATCAGCTTTCAAGCAGCAGCAGTTATGACTTCCGAGCTTTGAGGCTGGGGCCCCTTGTTTGTGCTGTCTTTCAGAGGACTCAGCATTGTCCCAGGTTACTGTTTGCTTCCTAGCTGAGGGAGGAAGTCTACTCAAGATGAATGGGGTGGGAGGTAGCAAGTCGGCAGGGTAGGGACTCAGCCATAATTCAAAGAAGGGGAAAGACAGTCACTTTATTTTCTTCCTGTGCCAGTAAGTTTCATTAAGGTACTAGAACCATATGCTCCTGCCCAGGGGTCCCCGAGGTCCCCAAGCGCTCAGGTCAGTGAGGACCAGGGCCTAGAACACAATACGTTCTTATTTTGGTTGTTTTTGAGACAGGTTCTCAATTTGGAACTTTTTTTTTTTAATGGTACTGGAATTTGAACTCAGGACCTTGTGCTTGCTTGCTAGGCAGGCACCACTTGAGCCACTCCACCAGCCCTGACCTCAAAAATTTTTTTTTTTTGGTAGGACGAGGGTTTGAAGACAGGGCTTCTCACTTGCAAAGCAGGTGCTCTACTGCTTGACTCATACCTCCAACCCATTTTGCTCTGGTTATTTTGGAGATGGGGTCCTCCAGAAACTATTTGCTGGGCTGGCCTTGAACTTTGATCTTCCTGATCTCAGCCTCCCAAGTAGCTAGGATTACAGGTTGTTAGCCACCGGTGCCCAGCTGGCCTCGAACTCTTGATCTTCATGCCTTAGCCTCTTGAGTTCTGGGATTACAGACACGCACAGTAAATTCTGAGACAAGAGATAGGGAGGTGGGTCAGCCCTACAAGGGAGAGCACATTGCCTGTATGAATTCTGTGGTGTCCACACGTAAGTGTGTGGTGCCTGGGAATGTGACCTCATCTGATA